TCCTCCATTTGGACCTTAACGTTAACAGAACAATGTGGGCGTGTTCTCATCCCCTTTTTAACTTTGCACCGCCTGTCCCCCTGAGCTGTGCGCACTTCGCGGAGCAGCCACTTACTGCAGAGTGGATGCAGAGTTCACCTCCGGCTTTGCCCGTGGTCCCCCGGCCACAGCTCTGGCTCCGGCTCTGATATCAAGATAGAGGATGGATTTCTATCACTTCACTTTCCTCTGCGGGGCTTTCTTGTTAGTTTGCGAAATCCCCTGTTTTCAGACTCTTGCTATTTTACCCCCAGCTGCCCCGAAGAGCAGCAAGGTGGCAAGGATTTTTGATGGACAAGAAGCCTCTAAATATTTCAAGGAGTTTAAGTCGCCACCATCCATCGACAGAAACAATAAAGCAACATCTAAAGACTTGATTGAGCCTCATGACTACATGCTGTCTATTTACAAGACCTTCTCCACGGCAGAGAGACTGGGACTCAACGCCAGTTTTTTTCGGTCTTCAAAAGCTGCAAACACTATTGCAAGCTTTGTGGACTATGGACAAGGTATGTGGAACTATATATATATATATATATGTGTGTGTGTGTGTGTGTGTGTGTGTCCATGCAGGTAGGATTGACTGAACACCCATGACTCATGACTTTGTGTCCCAGATGAATTCAGTGCAGACTAATGTGGGATTTTTCCTGTCAGATTCTACATCTCTCTGGTATGCACACCATCTCCGTGAGAATGCATCTGACCCTGCTGTTTTAATGCTTTCCACAGATGACCTCCCACTCTCCCCTCTGAGGAGACAGCAGTATCTGTTCGATGTCTCAACCCTTTCCAAAAAAGCAGAGGTGCTGGGAGCTGAGCTAAGGATATACACCAAAGTGTCTGGGAATTTCAGGATATCGGAAACAGAGCCCGTCGACATCCAGCTCCTCTCCTGCCACGACCAGCAGCTGCTCGACTCCAAAACGCTGGATTTGCAAGATTCCCAAAGACTGAAGTGGGAGGTACTGGACGTGTGGGATATATTCAAAGAGCGGCAGCACCTGAGCCAGGGGAAGCACTTCTGCCTGGAGCTCAGGGCCATGCTGGACAACCCAGAGAGGGAGCTGGACCTGCAACTTCTAGGTTTGCACAGGCATGGCAGGCCTCAACAGAAGAAAGCCATCTTAGTGGTCTTCACAAGGTCTAAGAAGAGGCAGACCCTCTTCAGTGAGAGGAGAGAGGGTAGACCATTGCTGGGTTTAGACAGGAGGGCCAAAGAAAGGGGCCCTGGTATCAAAGCCAGCAGGAGAAGGAGGACAGCTGCATCCAAAACCCGCCATGGGAAGAGGCACGGCAAGAAGTCTAAATCCAGGTGCAGCAAGAAGCCGCTGCACGTCAACTTCAGAGATCTGGGCTGGGACGACTGGATCATCGCCCCACTGGATTATGAAGCATACCACTGCGAGGGGGTGTGTGACTTCCCCCTGCGCTCTCACCTGGAGCCCACTAACCATGCCATCATCCAGACTCTGATGAATTCAATGAACCCCAGCAACATGCCACCCAGCTGCTGCGCCCCGTCCAAACTCAGCCCCATCAGCATCCTCTACATCGACTCAGGAAACAATGTGGTCTACAAACAGTATGAGGACATGGTGGTTGAGTCTTGTGGTTGTAGGTAGTAGGTCTGGCAGGTGTAGTGATTTACTTTGACCTCCTCCTTGTTTGTCAGACTTTCGGTTAGTGTGAAATTGAGCAGCATTACAGTTTATGTGGTGGGGAGGCTAGAAATGAATTAAGGAAATCTTGCTTGATTTGTTTGGCAAGATGGAGACCCAACAAGGTCATGCTTAATACCTCAAACATTTGTTTTATTGTTTTTTTCTGTATGTTCCTGTCTTGACAACACTGGCCACTTCAACACCACAGTGACTGCATATTCATGAAAATATAAGATAAACATCCAACTTCTAACTATCTCTATCTATGTCACCAAATCAAGGTTTAAAAGAAGAGTTAAACTTGCAGAGTTAGATGAGACTCACCTGTCCGTACGGTTAATATGAAGTTGCTTCCAGCAGCTGGTTAGCTTAGCTTAGCATTAAGGCTGTGAAGGGGGAAACAGCTAGCCTGGCTCTTTCCAAATGTCACAGTCCTACGCAAAACCAAAATCTGTCAATTTTATGCTTTGCTTTTTGTCCGCATCAAATAAAGAAGATATAATGTATTAATTACTAAGCTTTACAGGTGCCGGTAGGCGTATTTTTATACTGTCAAACAAAGTTAGGCTACCTGTTTCCCAGTTTCCTTTATGCTAAACTAAGAAACAGCCTCAGGACGGTAGCTGATCTTCTCATCTAACTCTCGGAAAGAAATTGAACAATTTCCAAAAATGAATGAATTAAATTTGAACTGTTACTATTCTTTTAAAAGAGACACATTAAATATCCCCATTTAAGGAAAATGTATCTGCGCTCATTAAATTACTGCAAGGCAAAAAATAAAAGAATTGGTGCCATTTGTTTATGCTTTTACCACCCACTGTTTTGGTGCATTGGACACTAATAGCACTCGGTTAACCTTAGACTTCAGCTACTACTAAACTAAACTAAATTAAACTTTTAATATATGTGATGTGTTTAATTAGACGCTAGTTTTTCTGGCCATTAAAGTTCATTTCGAAAGAATGCCCTGAAATAAAAACAATGCAGGTACAAATCAAAATTATATACAACGGAAAAACCTTAAAAAGAAGTCTCCTGACCATCAAAGCAACCCAATAATGAAATTGGTTGTTCTGTTCATTATAAGGTTCTAATGATCAAAAATAGTCAGTTTGTTTTAATTTAGGACATTTCATGACTGAACTGAAATTGATTACACCTTTGTGGCCTGTTTCTTTTACTACTTTATAAAAAACATATAAGAATAAAAGTTTTATTTTCCCATAATGGACGTCTTGAGCAACCTCTCTGCCATGATTAAAAAGCTGAAATTCAGCACTTGACATGGCCTATGTCTCAGGGAACGTCCTCGAGTGCTGAAGTCCTTTTTTAACATTGAACCACCATCAGTACAATTTTTTTTTCTTGATACATCATTATGTTTGTAATGCACTGATGTTCAAAGGAACCATGTGTAAATATTTGATACGGAAATACTAATTTAAGTTACGAATAAGTTATTTCATTTTTATTGTCCACTTTATTCCATTACAACTTCCAGACGGCATTAGTCACACATCTGGATGTTCAGGTTCAAATAAACATATGGGTAATGTTTTGGTAAGGAAATGTGACAGCTTTGTTCTGGTCAGAGACTGTGAAATACTGGAGTATTATCAGTGTTTTTGATGTATTTATAAATAGGAAATAATTATTCACCAAAGGAATTGTTTTTGTTTGGTAAACTGTTTTTTATGCTGTACTGTGGTTTAAAACATTAGTAGCACATTTTAGGCTCTAAGGATCTAGGATCTTGTATTTTGTATTTTGCATTATTTACTGGAATCTGAAAATAATATATTAAACTGATTGATACTAACTGTCAGTAAGATGGATGATTCAGTGTCATACAACAATGTTTATATTTTATTGGACTCTGTCTTTGCTCTCCTGCATCAAACCAGTGGAAAATGAATTGAAAATCTATTTTTACACAGTAAAATTTTTTAACCAAATCAATCTATTCTGATAACTGTGTGAACTGTAAGATATGTACTTACAGTAACAGGCAAATTAAAAGGTCTTTAAATTCAAATGTTTTCTTGTTGTGTGCAATTTATTAATAATTTTATTAGTGCTAATACTAATATTAGTTATGGTGTTTTGTCTCTTAATTTTCGGATTGTATTTCATAATTAGCACTGTACTCTTTATTTCAGTTGTCCTGGTCTTAATCCCAGATCAGTTATTTATCAATCAAGTCAGGCATTAACAGCTACTTTAAGATCAATTTAGTCATAATATTAAGTGAACTGTACTGTAAATTATTTAAATGCTCAATCAAGAACTCATTTCAGTCTTTATTGCCCTGCATCACAAAGAAACTACACATCAAGATTTATGCTTTAGTAAAACAGAATAAAAAATAAATTGTAAAAATAAATAACCCAGAATAGTGATAAAATACAATAAGTGTTTAATAATAGCAGAAATAAATGGAAATTGGTAAAACCAACAAGTTTAAACAGAATATAATAACAATATAACAGATTGGTTTTTGTTGTTTATTTAAATCACCTATATTCTTAATGATTGATGAAAATGAAATCCACTTCTGCTGGGGCGGGAGTGGCGGGGGCATGAACCTTTTTTGGCATCTGAAGGGGGGGAGTGGCAGAAAAAGTTTGAGAACCACTGCTTTAAGGGGTGGAAAGAATCAGTTACTGTACACGTGCCTTTTATCAGACATCTAAAAATGTCTGGAAGCGTGCGCACTAACAATCCTACTGAGTACTGTAATCAATTAGTTTTTTGGTTTGACCTTTTGTTGTTAAAGGTACAGTCCCAGCGCAGAAAGCACAACTGTACCTGCTATTGATCAATATAAACAAGTGGTCTGGAACTTACAGACTCATTAGTTTTCCTCTCTGGTGCTGAAGGGACGAGCGGGGTGAGTGACAGTTTGCAGGGTGAAAACAGGGTCAGCAGATAAGTGGAAAGAGCGCCATCTTCTCTGGGTGGGCTGTGTCTGTTGGGGGGGGGGGGGGGGGGGGGGGGGGGGGGGGGGGTTGGATTGGACCAGTGTGTGACACACAAATTGGTGGGCAGATGTAGTGACTGATCCCCCCCTTTAGTCTAGAGCCACATTGGGTCCCCTGTCTCTTAGACAATGGTAGTGGAGGATCTCAACATCAGATTAAGCTTGCCTTTTCCTCACTGGGGTCAAAGGTCAAGTGGCCCATTGTCTCTGGGGGCTGTGGACATTAAACAACGTACACATCCCCTTAGAAAAGGGCAGCAATCAAGAGGGGGGGCAAGGGTAAGGAATGTGTGTGATGCTCTCTGAGGGCCTCGCTGTCGCTCCCCAAACAACAAGGTGAGATATAAAAAAGGGGCGGTTTGAAGCAGCTGCTCTGAGTAGCCAGCGAAGGACAAAAGACTGGAATGTACCGTCTCTATAGCGGCGTACGGAGGCGTTTCTGCGCTCTGTCTCACTTTGGCAGATTTGCTGCGAGATGGAGAAAAATATTTGCAAGGGAAACAAAGCCGGGAGTAAATCGAGTGCAGGATTCAACAGTTGTTATCGGGAGTGGGGGGATAACTAGGAGGTCATGTTTTTTTCTGTTTTCTTGCTGAGTTTTTCTGTGATGTTAAATGTTTCACACATGTCCAGAGCGCAGACAAGAGGAAAAGAAAGCTAAGAAGGGAAAAGGAACGAGCACAGTGACCGAGACATCTGGAATAAGATATGTCCTGAAGAACAGAAAATAAGTTTATAATATCTGATGTCCAAGAATAGTCATAGCAATAAGGGGGAAAAAAGCTTTTTCACACTTGTCTCCTTTGTTTGCTTTTTGTTGAGGGTAAAAGTGATGTCTTGTCATCTTGACCTCTGTGTTTGCTCTGGTAAACGCAGCCTGTTAGAGGCTTTAGAGTGAAAATCCTCTCTGCGGAGTCAGATGGCAGCAGACACTGACACGAGGGAAGTGACTTGTTACTCCTTCTGTTTGCTGAGTAAACTCTAGTGACGTTTTATTTGTAGTCTTTGCTGCAGGGTTTTGCTCTTCTCAATTCCCAGATGGATTTGATTTCAAGCCAAGGTCAAAAGACGTCTAGATATCAAAGTTAAAACTGGGCTAATTGTGGTCAAACATGTAAAAGCTTTTTGGACATTTATTATATATAAGCAATGTTTCAACAACATTAAAATGACAGGCAGGTAATTGAAATGCTTTTGAAATAGTAGTTATATAGTCAAAAAAAACTTTGAAAAATAAACCAGAAATCACTAAATCAGTGCTTAGTGATGCATTAAGTGCAAATAGCATTTTAATGTTGCAGCTTCTTTTGCTGAAATATATTACCTAATTTACAGTCTTTGTAGGGTTCGTCTTAAGATTTGTACTCAAGACAATAAAAGTAAATAATACACTAATTTGCCAGTTTATTAGGTACACTTAACTAAAACTAATGCAGTCTAATGCAACAGCCATGAAATGAATCCTCCCTTCATGAAGGTTATAATCAAAGAGAGGGTTCAACAGTCAAGATAATTTTGGTGGATGTGGTGCTATGGAACTGTATTACACAGAGAGGTGTTTCTGAAATTTAGCCCTTCCTCATTGATGTAAATGTAGTGGACAAAATAATAGAAATGCCTGTTTAAGTGTAAACGTTGTATTTTGAGATTAAGAAAACAGTTCCAATCATACTTATTTCAAATTTGGGCTAAAGTTTGATGCAAAAAGTCGACACTGACAGTGATCCACCAAATATTTGTACCATAAAATTCAACTGATTGATTTCAGTGGAGAAGGTTTTGAAACATGCACAGTAAAGAATTGTTGTTGTTTTTTGCCCAAAATGAATCAATTGGGCCATTGTTACTGAGCTACTCTTCTCTTCCAGAAGTTCTGTGATCTTTCTGCCTGTATGCTAACTGATGCAGACTCAGAAGAGAGGGATTAAACAGTTGAGTGAGAAAGCAAAGTGATGGGGGAGAAGGAGGACAGGTGTGTCCTCTGTGGGTCACTGCTGCTGACAAACAGCATCTTCTTGAATGTCACTTTGAGCACAGATGCTATCTCAGGGTTTGGATTCATGACATATATAAGTTACACACATGCAGATGCAGTTTAAGTTATGTGTCACTTTGTCCCTCACATTATATAGTAATACTTTATATATATACACTATGTACTAATTCTGATGTTCACAACAGGAAATTAAATACATGTTGTTGAAACGGACATAACTGTGATGCCGGAAAGTGTTTTCCAAAGATGTCCCTGCAGCTGTTTGCACCTCTGTTCATAATTTATTATAATTTGTATCAGCTGTGAGGATTTTCCATCAGCACCACAATAAAAAAGTGATTTCAGTCTGCATGATGGCATGTGTAGGTGTACTTCTTTTTTGTCATTTTTCCAGAATGAACTCACTACACACGGTTAGTTTATAGCGTGCAGTTTGGACTTGAATGGTAACACTTATCCACCTTAATCAGTAGAAATTATTACCCAAACCTCCCCCTCCAACAGCAGGATGACTGACACCTGTGCTGGCAAAGCAGGTTTTAATCAATCACTCTGTTCCGTTGTGTTTGGTTTTAGAGTTGCAGTTTAGTTATTTTGCACATTACACAATATGTCTCTCTCATCCATGCATTGCACACCAATGATGTTATTCATTCACATTTAGTTAATTTTTCCTACATGGGCTGTCCTCCTGCTTGTCTCTACTTTGAACCGGGATGTGGACTCCCTTGAATTATGGAAGCCTGTAGCTGACACAAACAACTCAATTTCACGTTGGAGGTGGGAGGAGGGGGAGAAAATTACCTTAAGAGAGATCT